GTGACGAAAGGCGCGCGGAAGCCAGACTACCCGCTTTTGGCTCTATTTTCAGGGCTCTGTAAAAATTATAAATAATCGAGATACAGTTTCGGGAGTCGAGACTTTTTTAACGCAAATTCATTGATCTTTTCAAATCTTTTTTCAAATTTCCAAAATTTTGAAAATTTTCCGAGATATTAAGAAAAAACTAAAGCCCCATTTTTTTTTCACTTCATTGTTTATAACTTTTGTAATTTTTATCGGCGCGTTTTCGGACCTTTCCTTAAACTTTCTAGGCAAAAATACGAATCGAATGATACCTTGGTCGTAATTTTTGGACAGGGCTGAAAAATGTTACCAAAAAGAGCTAAATCGAGTACATGTGAACCAGACTAGAAGACAATGTACACTATATGTTCTTCGGACATAGTGACACTAATGAAATAGATGAGCATTTACCACAGTGTATTATAGCAAACGTGAGCTATAAACCTACTAAAGAAACTGGCGGGCCAGAACAGATTCTTTAGACCCTATATTGGGTTCCTGGACATGGTGATTCCTGAGTGTCAGCAATGAAAGAGGTGCTTCTAGAAATTACTGATCATCAGATAAAGCCTCTGAACCAGATGGAGGAGTACCAACTGCTACAACAGAGCAGATATAAGCTCAGAATAATTACACGATGGCAGAAGAAACGCAACATGCCTATGAAAAATGTACAAGTCATACTATTACAAAGTATCAAAAAATAGATTAGAGTTAGAGGATTCAATAGACTTGCAATGAAATTTTCCACGTCATGAAAAAGTATTGTCTAATGAGTTAATATTCCTACATGTGTATTCAAAATTTCATTAGGATCCACATCTGCCCAATGCAGTGCTTATTGGGGAATATTCACTAACAATTAACTACTACTTAAATCTCCTGATTACAAGTACGTAAATCAGAATTTTTCATTTCAGCCACAAGAGAGCAGGCGTACGTATACGCCATAAGTTCAGCGACGTTAACATACACCATGGCACGTGCATGTTCTAGTGGATCTCTTTACCACTGCACGTGTGCGAGTAAACCCAACATCCCATCCAATGAGCAGTTTCAATGGGGCGGCTGCGGTGACAACGTCAAGTGGGGGGCACAATTCGCTAAAAGGTTCATCGACAACGTGGAGAAATATGCTCTGGAAAATAGAAAAAACAAAAGAAGCGACGCGATAGGAAGCAGAGAGGAGGATGAAGTACTGAAGAATGAAGTTGCAGCGGTGAATCTGCATAATAATAAAGTTGGGAGGAAGGTAAGTGGATTTTATCAACTATTGTCATTAGTGAGATATCTTCAACGAATGATTTTTAAAGTTCAGGTCATTTGTGTTTTTGAATGCATTTGTGAGAACGGCTGCTGTGAATAGATTGTGTAATTGTGGCAGATGTGACTGAAGTTACGAGTGAAATTCAAATTGAGCATTCACATATTTTATTTCAGGAAAAATTTTGAAAATTGGACCCGAAAATCCTAATACACACTAGCTCCTAAATGATATTTCGAATCAAAGATAACAAAGACTGGCGAGCTACGCGTTCACTCGTATCTATAGTTTCAGGGGGTGGTGGTAATGACGGAGATGGTGGTGGGGCTGATGGTGGGGCGATGGCGGGATGTCCATGCAAATGCTCACTCCTGATGGGGTGGTGGGTCTATACTTCTGCTGGGTGGTCCCACTGTTACTAAATTTTTCTGGTAGATCCACGTTGTTAACAGGTATGCTACTGGCAGGATGTCGACCGGAGTTATATTCTAGGCTATATCTGTTCTTCTTGAGTAATGAATTTCACAGTCTCTTGACCCGTATAGCTTTTTCTTTTCTGTTGAAATTGTTGGGATATGCTTAGATATCTCAATGGCCCCCCTATGAAGTCCTGCGATGAATTTGTATTGTCGAATTTTATAATGTGGTCTGTTTCTATCAGGACATGTTCTGCAATTGCGGTTTTCTCTGGCGGAATGAGGTTGCAGCTACACTTGTGTTCTTGTATCCTGGTGTTGATACTGCGTTGAGTAGTTCCGATGTAAACTGAGACACAGGAACAGAAAATTTTGTAAACACCGGCGTATGTTAAAAGCTCTCTTTTATCCTTGAACTATCTGATAATGTTGCGTGGTTGATTGGTTGGCTTGTAAATGGTCCTAATGTTGTGACGTTTAAACAGACTGTGCCTACCACTCACGGCTGTATTATAGTCGAGTATTTCTACTTATAGAATGTAGAGCATCTCTGCTACGGATCGAGATGGGGCAGGCACAAAGAGTAATCTCTGCTGTTTCATCATCTTCCAATCAGAGATGGAACGCAAGATCTTCCTTATCTCTTCATATGATGATTTTGACGATGGTGACAACAGTTGGACAAATCAGGTCATCCCTGATGTAGTCTAACAACTATTTGGTGACATTTTTGGAAGGATGTTTGAGTGCCTTGGAACGGGCCACGGACGATTTGCTTCCTGCAATCCAGATTTTGAGTATTCGTTTGGTGAAACCTAAAGCCATGCCAAAACTGTTTTGTTCCAGTGAATCAATCTGCTCTCAATAATTTCTCCTCTATTTCTTTCTACTTGGGATTGGTGCTGCTTAAGGTAGGTTGTAGTTGACTGTTTAATGCAACGGGCACAATTCTGTATGTAATCTATTTAGCTTGTCTCCTCAGAAAGATGTAGAGAAGAAGTAGGTCTTGAAGGCTATCCGTGGACCTTGTGGTGTTTTGTAGATGACACCGGAGATAACCTAGCATTAGAAACATTCACCAGAGTTGTTTGCTGTGAAGCTTTTAGACTACTGCTAAGCACATGAATATTGGTCTGACAATCATCACATATATAAAATGCATTTCCATAGAGCCTTCGATTTATCCACGGGGATTCTGGCTTGGGGTACAGCCTCTTCTAAGTAAGTATTTCAAGTGATTTTTTTTATCAAGGATAGTATCCAAAATAGTTCACTTCCGCTGCCAATTGAAGAACCTCATACCAACAAAAAGTTTATTCTCCTTATGAAGGAGACTATCACAGTTTTGCTCTGGCACTGACTATGAACATCTTCTAGCAATCTTTGCATTAGTATAGGCTACCTGTCCAACGTTATGTCTCCGTCATTCATCACTGAAGGTTGTAACACACGGTTTTTATTCTTAACTGTTTATGTTCCTAGGTGATGGCCGATAGCCTACGTACTCAATGCAAATGTCACGGAGTATCTGGCTCGTGCAACATCAAAACTTGTTGGAAAGCCTTACCGCCAATGTCGGAAATCGGGCATAAATTGCTCAAAAAATATACGAATGCTGTAGAATTGTCGAGGACTATGGTAGAGAGAAGCATCACGGAACGACTCGTGAAAAAACTCAAGAACAGAGATGCGAGGTCGCAATCGTTGATATACATATCAAAATCCCCGGATTATTGTACGAAGGACGATAAGTTGGGAAGTTTCGGAACTGTTGGAAGGTGAGAATGAAGGTTTTTATTTTCAGTACTTAAAATTTCATTGTGATGTGTACTTCAATTTATATGCAGAAATTATAGCACAATAAGTCATTCCTATGCCAGAATTACGGACCGATTTCAAAACCAGCCATTTCACCCAAGTTGTTTGAATCGATTACATTCGATTATCTGTGTTATGTCATTATTATTATAAATAAAAACAACATAGATTTATGAAAAAAGGTCTTTCAAAACAGATGTATTTGAATATAACGAATACATACTGCAGAACCTAGATAGCAGAGCTCAAGTAGATGCCGTATTTACACCAACTTTAGCCAAGCTTTTGACAAAATCGACCATGATTTAGTGTTCAAGTTTGCGGCTGAAATGGTTACGATCTCAAATAACCAACCGTTCTCACCCAACTAGCAATTTCGTATTTTATAATAGTTGCGGAAACGTTTCGGAGGAACAATTTATAAAACTACATTTCTCTCAGAAATGTTTTCAATGTGTTTATAAAACTGCTATAAATAGGAAATTGGCACCGTTTCATAAAACATTATAGTTATTATCAATATTTTGTAAGGCCTTTTACAAACACTACAAAACAGTTTTATAAACATTTTGGCAGTTACTATAAAATAAAGCTTCCAGAAAGTTTTTTTTATGGAACACCAAGTCATTTCTTCGTCTATTTGAAGCACCTCGTACTGAATCTGAAACTATTATATACCCCCCAATAAATGTTCAAAATGGCCGCCATTGAGTTATTATTCATTTTTATTTATGTATTCGGGATACAAACAGAAAAATTCACTACAGTATCTACACAATGGAATCATTATCAAATTGAAAGTATAACATATATATAGGTACACATATATATGCATATCATAGTGTCTAGAATTAAGGATGAATTAAAAATATTGAATTTACTTATGGGGTACCTATACTTACTCAATGAAAATCAAATATTTAGAAGTTGGTGAAGAACTAATTTCCACCACGATATCGATGGTATTCCACTTGAATAACTAAACAAAAATATTCTTACTAAACATAACTAAAATTTTGAAGAATTTTTCAAAGCTGTGATTAGGAATCGATGTCAGCTGGTTGTTCTTCAATGCTGCATTTTATTCTTGGTGACAGCAAATATATATTAGCAAAAGCAATTTGATTTCATAACAGTTATATTAATGTTTTTGAATTGTAGTTAATATACCATACTATAAAATAGTTGGGAAATTATCATTGAAGTGACAATATGGTAATGAAAATAAAATAGTATCTGAAAGCATTCCAATAAAATAATTTCATTAAAGCTACAAGAAACAGTTATAAAATAAGCTTGAAATAGTTTCATAATTATCATAAAAATCTCGCACAAAAGTGTTATAAAACTGCTACATAACAATTTACTTTTATAGGAAAATAATTTTTATAAGTTAGTTGCAAAAACGTTTCTATGATAATTTCCTGACTATTTTATAATGGTGTTTTAAATTTCTTTCATAAACGGTTTTATGACAAATTTATGAAATACTTTTATTGCCCGCAACTGTATTGTGTTCACCAATCATCTAATATTATCAATTAGCATTTTGGAAGTAATAATAAAATACTAATAAAATAAAACTGTTGCAACACCATGGAATTATAAAACAACTTTGCTGGTTGGGCAGTTTGTCTGTATTGGCAACGACATCTTGAGATCTATAGGTATAACATCTGGTGTTCCTCAAGGATTACATTAAGGCCCCCTACTTTTAGAAATTTATAGAACACCTCAACAGACGTATATGGAACACTGCAAAATTAATGAGCCGTATCCCACCTTCGATAAGTATCATCATTTGACATTTAGCCGGAATAATCTTCAAAACTATAAAAATTACACATTAGATGTAGGCTTCATTTTTTATTCTGGAATGATTTTTCATAAACACATCGCGTACACCACTACAACCGATCTGAAAACAATGACTCCATTTTTTTTTAAATACTTTCCCTAATATAATCAGTCTAATAATATAATATATATAGACAGTCTGTATATATTTAGTGTAATTGAAAAGGAAGGCCACTCGACAGAGATCAAGCTGACGAAGACTGGTTCTCGAAATATTTTCACAAAAACCCGGAATTCGTGAATGCGAACAAATGTCCAGTTTTTATTTCGTGTAATTACCCCGCATAAATCTTAGGGAAGTGCCCTTTTTTATAGATATAATCGTTAACAGACACTAATCACTGTCACGGAAAAACAATCGATTACAGTTGTTTGTTATACTCGGGTGCTCTGATTTTCATTTCTACTTCAACTGGATGTAAAAGGATGTCAACACATTTTTTCAGTCTATCTGAAATCTACTTGAGATTTTGAAATTCAAATGAACCATAAAATATATATTTGGAAATTACTTGACTCTTCGAAGACGAAAATGGTCAAAAGCCAGAACAAATCTAGAATGGCGGCTTTTTACTCTCGGGATGCAAGGAGACGTAAAATATAACTTGAATTTAGATATCTGAGAAATCAATAATTGTTACCTACTTCCTATTAGTTCATTCATTCAGTAGGAGGGATTTATTGACAACAGGTGCGGTAGTTCTGAATTTATGATTATGATTTATGTTGTCTAGGATGGTTAGTTAATGCTGCAACTGCGAATTGGGTTTTTTTTTTTAATATAAGGTACATGAGTTTTATAGGTAATTACATTATTTTTCTAAAATTGTCTGAAGCGTTCCAAAGTAAGCAGCATGTTCACAAATTTTCTTCAAGTCTAATTTTGTTATTTTTTTCAAGTGCATTTTTCAGTGTATTACATCTAAGACTATCAGTAGAAAGAACTCTTTTCATAGGAGAATGGAGTGAAAAGAAGATTTAAGCAAAAGTCTGAAGTGCGGAGGGGGACACATTATTCATTTTAAAGACCTACTAACCATGCTAGACAACATTTCAAAAATTCAAAACTACCGGAATATTTCGAAGTAAACCCTTCTTTTTCGGTCTCTATTGGACTATACCTACTGCACTGTCGTCAGTATATGATCTACATGTGGGTTCTTCGATTAATAACTGCGGTACAAATGAAGAAACTCTACAACACCATTTGATAACCCAAATTTCAGCTGAATACTATAAGTAGGTACTCCAATTACTCCTCAAAATTATTTCACTATTTTACTTGTTCACTGTCGCTTCTAACCTCATCGCTAATCTAGATTCCGAACTATCTTCAAGCTTACTAATCCCTCTGAACTGATATCCGAACTAATAATCTGTCTAATTTTAAGTGGTAGAACAAACCTGTAGTACTGCAGTTTTGAACTTCACCTCTTATATGTTATATTCTATTTCACCCAATGAAGACCATTATTAATACCATATTGGAACATTCTGGTAAAGTCTTCGATAGAATTCTCGTTTGTCGCTACGCTCAGTAGCGGTACACTTAGGGGCAGTGGGGTAATAATATATACATAGATACGAAAATAACCATTTATTTCAAAAGAATTGATCCAAAGATGTCCAATTGTTACGAAATAAGTTTGTCCTCAGAATACCAGTCTCCATTTTTCTCAAAATCTCAAATTTCCATCGATACTTATCATTTAGAAGTTACCTACTAAATATTGGATAAGTAAGGTGACGAATAATTTTTCAAATACAATACTTATTTATTTTCGGATACCTTTTCCAAACTTATAGATGGTTCATTTTCAGGCAATGCAACGTAACTTCAAGCGGCCCAGAAAGTTGCAGACAACTCTGTTGCGGAAGAGGCTATCGAACCGTTGTTGACGAGAAGATCGAGAGGTGTCAATGCAAATTTTATAATTGCTGTTATGTGAAATGTAAAATCTGTAGAACTATGACTCAAATACACGAATGTCTTTAAAAGTTTTTTTTTACAAATAATCAAAAACCCCTGTTTAAATATTATGATTGAATGAATATGAGCCTATACATAGCTCAAAAATGGTATATTTCAATATTGTTCAATGAAATTGAGAAAGGTAAAAAANATTTGGGGCAATAGTAAGAATTGCATAAGCCTATACATAGCTCAAAAATGGTATATTTCAATATTGTTCAATGAAATTGAGAAAGGTAAAAAATACACATGTCACATTGTGCTCGCAATTTGCTTTTTAGTTCTATCTATTATAAGTGATAGCAGGTTATAGTTTAAGTATTCAAGGGCGTCATTCTTCAGATGACACATTTGCTTTTCAGCTGCAGATCCCTGAAATAAATGAACTCCAACTTGAAAAAAGGTAAAACTGGAACCTCTGGCATAGAATAAATCCACAACAAGCAGTTTTCCCAAACACCAGAACTTCATCAATTTACTTGATGCGCGTTTCGCCAACTAATTTATCGTCTTCAGGAGATGAAGGAAACTGTTTTCTAGTCCAAAACAAACACTTTTCTCAATTACCAGAAATGAAATACTCTTCTTGACGTGCGTGTTACAAACCAAGTTTGCGTCTGCAGGAGAAGAGAAGAAAATATGTCTTTATCTCCTGAAGATATTGTGTTGATAGTTTCCCATAGAACTTTATATTGGCATTTTAAAAATAAAGCATTATTATTATTAAGGACGCCATTGCGGTTGGTTGAGCGGGCATTTAAAAAAAATACAATACTCTCGTCTGAAAATGTATTTTAGGACGAAACTGCGAGAGGTGGTAAAAAACAAGTGGTAAAAAACAGGAATTTTCATTTCTCATTTTTCATGATGATTTCATACCAAGCAGTAACAACTACATCCATCAATTTATTGAAATGATTTGTTAACTATAATTTGCTGTGATTACTATTAGTATACATCGTTTGAATCTGTAGGTAGGATTTGTCTGTTGATGAGTCTAAACTATAATTTGCTGTGATTACTAGTATTATACATCGTTTGAATCTGTAGGTAGGATTTGTCTGTTGATGAGTCTAGTCAGATTCATCTACACTTGGTAATTTGTCATCTAAAAGATGATCTAAGAGATGCTCATACTAAACATTACTGTGAACCAATTGAGAACTAATAAACTGAATCTTCAGTGTGTTTATTATTTTTCCATGATAGTGTTTTAAATTATATATTTTACCATTATTTTTGCATCGCCATGTCGAATGTTTGCAGCTTTTTGAACGTATTCTCAATTAACAAAATTCCTCAAAGTGATTGTCTTAAACAATAAAAACAATGTAGAAGAATATATTCAACTAAAATAAAACTTGAATTTACGATGTGTGCTCAAAAAATGAGGTTAATGTTCAAATTTCACGAGCTACGTATATTCAATTAGCAACTTTTTTATGTTACCACACTCGAAATGTTGACATTCGCATACGGTGATTGTACCCCGAGTCCAAAATTCTTTACAAGTGGTACAAGCTTTTCACAGAAGGCTGAGAAGACGTGAATGACGACTCTCGCCCTGGACGCCTCAGCATATCGATAACGGATGAAAATATTGAGAAAGTGAAGAAAATTGTTATGTGGAATCGTCGAATCACTATTAGAGAAGTTGCTGAGGATGTCGGCATATCGGTTGCCCCATGCCCACAAACCACTTAGAGTAAGTAGTTTGTGCCCATGCCATGCAATTTTTTCGGATACTTTGGGCATGAAGCGTGTGGCATGGTAGTTTGTTCCAAAACTATTGAATTTTGACAAAAAAAAACAATCACATGAAAATCGCTTAGGAATTGTTGAATGACGTCAACAACGATCCCGATATGCTCAAACGAGTCATAACGGGTGATGAATCATGAGTAGGGGAGAATGTTCCACAATCAGACAAAGCATGTAATTTTGAAATTCATGCCGCGAGTTACGTGGAAACAGATATCAAGAAACGTGCCTTATCTACAAGAGCCCGAGACTTTGCAAACTCATTATATTTCGAATCTTGTAATAATTGTCATTCTTTGTACTGCCCTCGAAGATAATAAACGCTTTTTTGAGTCTTATGTGAAATCGATTTTCTTTTTAAAAACTAAGTTCTCGATTTCCAATACATAATTCGCGAGTTCGATGTTTTTCGTTTGGATAGTAGGGTTACACACGCAGTTTTGGTAAACAAAGTTGTAACGCTATTCTTTTGGATTCGAGCATTTTTCAACAAAAAACTTATTTTCCTAGGTAAGTTTCTTCTATCGTTGATTTGATATTATAAGCCTTAATTTTTCGTTTGGAACTAGTAGTACAAAAACAATCTGTTGATCAGATTTTGGGCTATTTTATTGACATTTTTTGAGCGAGTTTACTTTTGTAGGTTATGTATGGAGTTCACAGTTGAATTTAATCAGACGCTGTCTGATTGTGGAACCTAATTTGTGCCGTTAAAAAAAGTGACTTATGGAGCCACTGTATGGTACTTTGGGATTGGTTTCCGACTCTGGATGGATGACTTGTGAGTTGTTTCCAAGCGTTGTGAGTTGTGAGGCACTTCATTGAACATACGTCCAGCACAAAAGAAAACCCTTCCCTCCTGATTTTTGACAATCACGAGAGTCACCTGACGATAGAAGGAATGAATCTAGCAAAGAAAAATGAAGTGATCATTTTGACCTTACCACAAAGAAGCCCGACCACATATAGATCCCAATCAACCATCAACATCAAGCTGTATTGAAGAAAATATTATGTCAGTCTCCTCACTTTCAGCATCAGTTAATTTACACACAACTCCCACACAAAATCAAAACACTGAAACTTTCGTAAGTCCGCAAGAATTCAAAGGATACCCAAAAGCTAAAGAACGAAAGAATCAGAGAAATAAGAGAGAAAAAGCTAAAAGTATTATCGCATCGCCACCGACGCTCCAGAAAAGATCGCCCTGGAAACTAAACAGATAGAGAGAGAAAAAAAAAGCTTGAAGAAGAAAAATATATGAAGACTAAACAGATAGAGACAGAAAAAAAAAGCTTGAAGAAGAAAAATATATAAAGACTCAACAGACAAAGAAAATGAGAACGAGGCGATGCTTGTAACTGATGATTCTGATGATGATATTGATTTTGTAGGAGAAAAGACAAGCTTAATAAAGTGCCAGAAGTTGCCGATTTTATTTTGATAAAAATTACATAGCTGAAGTATTATGTAAAGAGATAAGGAATGTGAGGTTAAATTTCTGAGAAAGTCCGTTAAGTATGATAACAGCTTCATTTACCCCGAATAGAAGACTTCTCTTTGGTATGCTTAGAAAACATTAAGATGGTGTTACCAAAATCATCACACGTGGGAACAACAATACGGCAACAGTACTAAAACTTTTGTCTTATTGTGGAACATGCCATGTCTGGATGTGGAACATGTATGTTCCACAGTCAGAGAACTGTCCTTTCATTTTAAACAAACATTTTTTGAATACTTTTTTTGGTTAATGATGTATGTTCTACCATAGAACCTTATGCACAGCCTTAATTTGTATTAGTGACAATCATATTTTCGTTTGCTCAATAAATAAGGTTAATATTTAGCAAAACCTATTTTGTGTCTGATTGTGGAACACTCTCCCCTATATGGTTATGACATGGAAACAAAAGTCCAATCGGTTTTCAGTGAAAGAGCCCAGGAGAATCAACACCAAAAAAAGCCCGTTAAGTTTGATCAAATATCAAGGTTTTGCCCACTACTTATAGTAGTTAACAAGGAGTATTATCTTATGCGCCTCTTGCGAGAAGCGATACGAAGGAAACATCCGGTATTGTGGAAAAACAATTCATGGCTTTTGATCATAATAAATAAAATAAGACTTAATAGTAACTGACACTAACACTGTTTTATCACTGTTTACAAATTACTGAAAAATCTGTACATAATTCCTTTAAATTAAGCCTATCATAACTCTGAATGTATATCAGTCGCACCTGAAAAGTTATTATTAAGTTAAATTTAAGTAACTTTGATTGAATTATTTTTTTACCTTTATCAACTACTTCTTTTTCTTCAGAAGGATCGGCATCTAGTTCACCGGAGTCGATTCTTTTCTGCAGTTCTCTTATTTCATCATCATATCCTTTCCATTCTGGCAATATTCTAACAGCAGCTGTTAGTTTTGCTTCTTTAGTCATTGGATTATTGCACTGAAGAAAAAAATGATTCTTCACAATGAACAAACACATTATCTAAATTAAGTATCTGTTATTATTGACTTTAAAAAAGGTTATTTATCCCTAGACATTATCATATCATCCAAACATCCAAAAATATCAACTGATATTATCAAGATCATTATTTGTCTGTAGACAATTTCCAGAAAAGCTGTTTGTTTATAGACAATCCGCTTAGAAAGAATGTCTATCTATAGATGATATTCCAAAAAGGTTAGTTTGTAACTAGACAATCTGTTCAAGATGATTGTTTGTTTCTAGTCGATGTTGTTGGTCTCTGGCCATTCTGTCCAAAGAGGCGGACGATATCCAGATAAATAACTTGGGATTGTCTCAAGCTATTTTACACCGAAAGACTGTCTCTAGACAAGCTGCCCGACACAGTTGTTTGTCTCTGTGGATATAATATTAAAAGGCAAACAACCTTTATGAGCAGATTGTTTAGAAAGCATATCCTTTCTGGGTAAAATGTTAGGAGGCAAATAACCTTTCTGGCACATCATTTGGAAACAATTGTTTTAAACAAAATCAAAACCCATGTTTTGAGCATAAAGTCTAAAAACAAACGTTTTGGCAGATTGTCTATTGACAAACAAATGTTTTGGGCAAACTGTCTGAAGACAAACAAATCCTTTTGGGAATTTCCAGAGATAATTACAAGTTTTGATAGAACAGATGACGAATCTGTTTGGGCAAATAGTCTGGAGAAAACAGTCTTTCTGAGCAGTATGACTAGAGATAAACAGCATTTCTGAGCAGATTGTCTAGACACACAACTTTTTTAGTTAAGGCGTCTGGAAACAACCAACCGTTTTTTGTAAAATGTCTAGACAAATAACTGTGAATGTGTAGAATGTCTAGAAAAACAACTGTTTCGTGCTGAATCTGTAGACAGAACCGTTTTGAGTAAAATGCCTAGTGACAAACAAACATTTCCTGAATTTCGGGTCAGACATTTAAGTTTGATTGTCTAGAAACAACAAACCTTTATGGGCAGTTTATCTGGAAAATTTTCTTGGGCAAATGTTTAGAGAAGATAATTTGTATGAACAAATACTCCAGAGAACAGTAACCATTTGAGCAGAAAGACGAATTTCATAGAATCGTTCTCGTTGGAGAAGATACTATTTTCCTAGATAATACCTTGAAGACTACTGAATGACGGACTGCAGGTACTCACCAAATCAATTGTTTTTGCATAATCCTTTGAAGCATCATCACACCAAGTTTCACACCACAACCATTCCTGCGGCAAAGATTTAATAGCCACCTGGTGAATCATGTTATTAGGTAAATCCTGATCCAAGTTGGATAAGCTGTTCGGATCCTGACTAAGAGCTTGATACTGTCCTCTCAGTCTGTCTCCGGCCGCTATCCTTCGGAACCGCTTCAAATCAACTACATACAGGGCTGAAATGTGATATCGTCTGCCTTGCAGATGGTTTCTCCAGTAACCATGTTTCCAGAATCGGAAGCCGTCCATTTCTTTGCGGGATTCGCAAAATGGAGTATAACCATATGGGGCACCTCCAAGGTCTAACTGTTGTAGTTCTTTTAGGTCTGCTCTGACCACCTGGAAAAAAACTAATGAGGAATTCGATTCATCAGAATTCAACAACAAATGAAATTCCCAACTTACTAAAACCTTCAGATGAATAGAGAAAGTGGGTAGCTTGGCTACCTGGTTAGTTCTGTTTTTATAACTTCTCAATTCACTATAAATATTAGCACCAGTGGGGTTAAGAGGGCAAAATTTATTTCAATGATGGAAAATAATAATTAATGATGTCATATTACCCAAGGTACTATGTTCATAATAATAGTACTGTAACTGAACTCTATATTAGTGACCTATTAGGTCGATATAATTATCTCTAACGAATAATACATAAATTATTATACTCAAATACAGAAGAAAATCATACCAATTAAATATTAATTGTATTCTTTTCATTGTTCACATTGTTTTTCATAATCCAAACCTTTTTCGGATTCTCAAAGCCAACAAAAACTGTGGTATCATGTAAAAAACATTGAATTGACGTCAATATGAGTTATTATTTTTGTAATCCAATTTTTCCTGTAACGTATCTAAGATAATCCAGTGTAAGTATTTATATATAGTTTGGGAAACAACTATTAGAAGTTGTTGAGGTTCTTGAATAATACCAAAATTCTGGATACATTTGAGAGCCAAAAAATATAAAATGGATAAGAATAATATTTTCAGTTCTCATTCATAATTATCTAGTGAACAGCTACAAAACATCGTTTTCCAAATAGATTGAATACCTGACTAATCCTTAACCTTCTATTTATCTGGTTTCTCCAGAAAACATCAATACTAGAAACTTCTGGAGATTTAAGTGAAGTAGAGAAATAAATTTATGTCGTGGTTACACTGAGTTGAATTTAATATTAATGATAATAAATGGTCTTCATTTTTATCTTGGCGGAGTTTAGCTTACGCTATTCTATATGATGCAGTCTTAGGGTTTGAAGATAATGCCAAGAATTGGTAAATAAAACTAGTAGTATTTACCTGATCAGCATCAACAAAAATGATTTTTTTGACATCCAGAGGAAACAGTACATCCAAGAACAATATTTTGTAGCCCCAAATTATCCTCTGTTTCTCATTCTGCTGGTGTAGCCACCTCGGCCATTTATACTGCACCAACTCATACTCAAACCCATATTCTTTAGCCATGTATGGTAGGAAATCCTAAAACACATAAATTATCGGTAGAAGTGATAATCAATGAACTCTAAAGAAATACTTCATACCTTTATTTGTGGCGACAAATAATTCTTCAAAAACCAAAATTTGACTGGAGTTTTGGTATGTTTGAGGACGGATAACATCATGATTCTGAGGAATCGTTCATACAAGTGACCAGAAGCTAGTGAAAATATGTTCAATTTTTGGTCAGGTTCCTCTTCAGTGCCAGAGAAAGAACTAAGAAGAGAACCAAAAATAATTATGTCATACCTACTTCAATGTCACTCGTAAGGAAAAAAAATTTAAACTCACCTTGCAATAGAATTCCAAATACCAGAACCACCTTCATCATCAGACAATAAATCCACATTCTGTTTATCTGATTTTTTCTGTACTCTCAGTTTGACTATGTGGGAGCGTAAGGAACTTATAAGCACCTTGATGTCAGTTGAGTTTTCAGGAGTGTCACTACCATCGTGACTAAAAATGAAGTAGATAAATGAACAAAAAATCTTTCATTAATAGACAAATATAATAGTTAAAAGAAAGGAAAGGAAGAAGAAGCCCCTAATAAATATCAGTATTTCTTCAAAATTATATATTTACTCTGGTCCTCAATTAGTCACAGATTAGTTGACTGCCAGATTTTTTTTATTCATGGAGATGAGTATCCTTCTTTAATAACAAATTAAACTTATTTTTCAGATATTTTGAATTTATAAATGGCTAAGGTTGAAATTTAGTATTCAATTCAACTTCTATTAGATTTTCAAATATTGCCTTGCATCGAACTGAAGTTAACCCTCTGCAGCCTATACACGCTGCCAAAAGAGCCCAAAAGATTAACCAGACATTTGGCAATGATAATGTTAATTAACGCACTGTAAGAAATTGGTTTGCGAAATTTCATTCCGGAGATTTTTGCCTCAAAGATAAGTCCCAAAGTGATTGACCTATTGTAATCCAGAACGAGTATTTGAGGACTCTGGTGGAGACTGATCTATCACAGAAAGTGAGATAGCGGGAGAACTGGGCGTTATCTCCCATGTGATTTTTATGGTTCAAAACGTATTGGAAGGGTCAACAAGCTCGAAAAGTGGGTACCCCATGAGTTGAACGATTGACAGAAAAACTGTCACGTTTCGAGATCTGTTCTTCTCTGCTTTTGCACAACCAAAACGACCCTTTTTTTAATCGGATCGTCACGTGAGATGAAAAGTGGATCCTCTACAACAGGAGACGTTCGGAACAGTTGTTGGAAACCGATGAGCCACCCAGGCACTTTCGAAAAGCGAAAACTCACCAAAAAATGAATCTTGGTTACTGTGTACTGATGAGCGGCTGGTGTGATTCACTATAACTTTCTGCAACCGGGCAAAACCATAACAGAATTCTATTGTGAGGAAATCATAGTTCTGCATTAACCACCATACTGCCCAAACCTCTCTCCAACAGAATACCAGCTCAGATAAATGAGATTCAAAACAATTGAGACTTACACCTCTTATACCATACTGTTGTAATTTCCGAAGCAGTGTACTTTGACTGTGTTAGTCATGATACACTGCATGATACACTCCACAGTTTATTTTTCCTTCCTCAGAATAATTAGTCTTTTAAACAATTTGACTACGCTCAGATAAATAAGATTCAAACCAATTGAGACTTACACCTCTTATACCATACTGTTGTAATTTCCGAAGCAGTGTACTTTGACTGTGTTAGTCATGATACACTGCTTCGGAAATTACAACAGTATGGTATAAGAGGTGTAAGTCTCAATAAAAGAGCTGTACGATTTCTGTGTAAAGCAAAACCACGAGATTCTTGCAGACCACTGTTTAAGGAAAAGAAAATTCTCACTGTAATATCTACTTTATTATTGAAACTATATGTCTCATAGCAAAACATCAAAATCGATTTTCAATTAACACAAACGCCACTCGACAAAAAACGACTTTAATTTGCCCATTCCAAAATATTCCCTCATTAAAGACTCTTTCATTTATAATGGGTTAAAAATGTCTCATAGCAAAACATCAAAATCGATTTTCAATTAACACAAACGCCACTCGACAAAAAACGACTTTAATTTGCCCATTTCAAAATATTCCCTCATTAAAGACTCTTTCATTTATAACGGGTTAAAAATGTTCAATCACCTTCCATCAAATCTGAAATTTGCATGCAATATCGTAAACTTTAGGGAAGTTCAGAGTACTATCAAGATACGACTTGTGGCTGACTCGTTTTATGTAATCAACATTGAAAATTTTCCAAATAAACACTTATTGGCTATATTCGTGCTAGTGATGTATTGTGCTATGTAAATACTAATTGTTTTTGTTATTTTTTTGTTCTTTGTACATACGTTCAATAACTACCTGAAATTTTATTCAACAACTACCTGCCAATGTATATTATTTTATAGTGTATAGTTTTCGAGAACATTACTCGAATAATTATAACATGACAACTAGCGATAGCTACTATGTGTGAATTTATTACTCAAATGATTATAACCAAGCTTTGTCAATAAGATGTTAATCTTCAGACAATAAAGCATATTTTGACTTTGACCTTTTCAAGCACTTCGATAACTTTCTCACTGATAGAACCTTAGCCAATCAGGACCAGGTAAAAAACAGCCTTCGACGACTTCATCGAGTCCCGAGCACACGCATCCTAAGGCTACTAGAATGCCCAGTGCCTCCACATAAAGGCATAAATTAAGTCTTTATCCAATATGATGTTATGGGTAGACAGCACCATTTTTCAACATTTATCGAAACTGAATTTAAGGGATGAGTTTATGATACTGTCCTCCAAAACTTAAATAATGTAGTGTCATCAGCAAATAAGACACATTTAATTGGTATACAAAAATTCAAATATATCACTTTATAAATTATAATGCTAAAGGACCAGGTAGTTGACGACCGTCTTCCGAGAACTGAATTTCGGGTTCTAATACAAATCGGTAAAAACTGCAAGAGGAAAATAGTATTCGTTAGAATACTTCTTCACATTAACTATACTATAAATACATATCCAAATCTATAAAGGTTAGTTGAACATGATACCTGCTTGAGTAATGGTAGGTTAATAGTTTTCAATACACCATATAAGTGAGGTTAGCATAATTCATGCTCAGGATATCCATCTTCACATTTCAATGGTGAAGAAGATGGAATGAAGGAAGAAGGAAGAACGAAGTCAACGTATCATCATTTGAGAAGTTAACTTTGTTTCAGGTGAAACAAATAGATTGTGGTTAAATTGTCGAGGATAGTGCTTCGTCAGATAAGCTCATTGTTTGTGAGAAAATAATTGAAGTGTCTATATTGATTTTAAATTAATTTTAAATATGACAAATTTCAAGGTCAACTGCACATACCCGTATTGTTATTTGGTCCATAATTGAACAGACAAGTTTTGATGACGTAATGGATACTTTCAAATGGTTGGAACTCAAAAAAGAACACTCTGTAGAATGTTCAATACTCTTTATGACCGTTTCATGAACATTGATAACCTTAAAAATGAAATTTATTTTATGGAAAAATCTTAGATACAATTCTAATAGTCTCTATAAAGAAACAAAAATTATGGAAATTAGGCAATTATTCTACCTTTGTGTGAATATGAGGTACCACTTCCAAAAACATAAAGCTGAAATTCACATGAATACAATACACGAAACCGTAACAAACACACACCCTTCCGCATGTTACAAAATCTAAAACTCAAAGAACATTTTCTTATATTTCAACAAAACTATATAATACCCTGCCCGAAGAAATAAAAAAATGTAGAAATAAACAAATGTTTAAAAAAAATAACGAAATATATTAATGAAAGTGATGGGAAGGAAACAAGTGCTTTGCACGTATCCTAAAACACTTTGTTCACTTCATGTATCTGTATCATTTATATATTTTCAATGTGAATAAAGTTATTATTATCATTATAACCGAAAAATGTGCATCAATTTACTACTTGAAGACCATTTTCCTGATATATTATAAACAAAAACTTACAAATTTATACTAGTTTCATTCTCAGAATGATCCATAGAATAAAATCTCTCTAATATTTACAAGACATGTGGGACCACTATGTATAAACGTGCATTTTTTTGTGTGCCCATAATGTATGGTAACAAATGATGAAATATTCCTACCTTTTAACGGGCATGTCACTGTTCTTTTCTACGCTGTTCAAAAACACCCTAATATTACAATTAAGTACTTCTTGTAGGACTTGCAGGATCGGTCCCAGTTTCTGGGCTCCTCTAGACACCGGATCAAGAATGGCTACTATATCAAATGCCACCTGATCAGGATGTGCAGCAGGAAGTTTCAAAACAGAATGCTCATCACCAGCATACACAATTTCAAAACGAGATCGAGACTGGGGCCTCGAGATGAGAAGGGATATTATCCTCATCATAGAGTCACTAGTTATCTCTGCAAAAAAAACAACAATCAACTTCAACCATTTCAAAACAATATTATTCAGCCACCTTCTTCATCCTCAGCATCTTTAGATAGGATTCCGTTAATTTTTTCCAAATAGGATGACGAACTGAACCGTTCCAAGAGGTTGAAATCTTCAGCAATGAATTCTTCATTTTCATCAAGTGGTCCAAGTACTCTCCCATTAGCTACCACAGCTCTATCGGATTCTTTCAATTTCAACACCCTTTGGCAATATACCCTCAACATCTTCAAATTAAGCTCCTGTGACTCTATCTTTGAAGAGACCTCAAACTGAAAAGAAGTGAAGTTTGCTATTTACAGATATATTGCAAATTATTTCAAAAAGTTTCAAGTGATACATAATTTAATTACATGGATCAGAGCAATATTTTCAGAATTAAACCAGCAAAATTTTGAGTCAATCAAATAAGTTTCATACTATTGATCAAAACTTCAATTATACACAAGATGATTCGAACAAACTGATTAGGATAAGTTTCTTAGATTTTTCAAAATTATTCGATACTTTTCCTTCTGAATTTCTCATAAATAAACTAGTATGCCTACCAATTATAATGAACTGTTATTCCCCAACTTCTAAAATAAACGGTCTGAATGTCTCATTAATAGGTTCGCTGATGATAACACTTTTTGTGTGTCAAAAAAATTCAGAAGAATTATATTTGCGAAAATAAATACCATAGTAGATAAATTCAGTGCTTGGTGAAAAATCCATTGTTTAACCCATTTATTAATGCATTTTCATTTCAGGTCACATTTATTTATTTTCTCTACAAATCAACATTCTTACAACTTTTTAAAGACATACGAGGTTTGTTCAAAAAATAAGATGAATGTTCAAATTTCGCGGGCTAAGTACATTCGATTAGCAATTTTTTTATGTTGGTACACTCTTCTTGAATCTATGTTCATAGTTTCAGCTGTTTAGCATGTTCAGTTTGTCGGTGAGAGGCATTAAAGTTATCAATCAATCAAATATACTTTATGTCTGAAGAACTACATCTTGTAGACAAAGTCATAAATAATAAGATACAAAAATCTACATAAAAAAA